GGGCACGGTGGCACTGTGGGCACAGCAGTGCTGCGGACACAGAGCCCTCCTGCGAGGAGTACCAGGCCAATGGCACCGTGGGCACGGTGGCACTTTGGGCACAGCAGTGCTGAGGGCATGGGTCCTCCCGTGAGGAGCGCCAGGCCAACGGCACCGTGGGCACGGTGGCACTGCAGGCACGGAGCCCTTCTGCGAGGAACGCCAGGCCAACAGCAGCGCACAACGCCTCGCCTCGCCTCCGGCTCTGGACTGGGTGCCGCCACAGGAGATGGCACTGGCAGCTTCTCTTCAGGCCCAGCTTTGCATCCAGCACAGTGTGAATCGGAATGAACTCCTCCTGATGCAGCAGCTGCATTATAAAAAAGGGTAGCTGAGACTGAAGGATATCTGGGTTTAAAAATAGTTAGAGCCTTTGCACTTGCTCCTTGCAAAGGAGACATTCAAAGTTACATGGAAATCCTTAAATATACACAAGCTCAGAGCCAGGCATTAGAGATTATCCTTCATATGAGTATTATTACTGAATAATCCTCTACTCTGCAATTATGTGGAAATGGAAATATGATGGCAAAGAGGCAGGTGTCCTTATAAACTCCTGTAAGGCAGAATTTGAGAATTAAAGCACTGCAGACATGAAAAGCCCAGTTTTTCATTAACCCCTAGCTTACTGTCTCTCACTGCTACTCAGAATTGAAAAATGGGCATATGCAGTGTTCAAACTCACCATGCTAAATCTCCTTCAATTCAGTACATAGAAACAAATACCGATAGAAAGGAAATAGATGATACTTGGTTACAAGATACTTAAAACGGCCCCCTACACACTGCAAAATTTTCTAGAAGTCAATAGGATACTGGGCCTACATGTTTTCTTTTTACTTTCTCACTGATGGTGAAGATTAGGAACCACTTAGAATAAACTCACCATGTTGCTGCAGGCAGGATACAATGATCTGAGCCCAGAGCTCGAAAACAGAAACCAGAAGGTTTCAACAGGGTCAGTGGCTTTTCCTGTACTTTTTTTTTCCCTAGAAAGCAAAATCTAAGTATCTAGAACTTTCTATCTAAAACCTTCTGTTTTTCCCTGGATCCAAACCCACACTCTGTGCCGCATCTGTTTGCATATGGAAGAGATGTGTGCTGTCTGGCTACTCTAACCAGCTTCCCAGAAGCGTTCTTATTTTGTGGTTAACCACTGTGGTATTTCTCATACCCTCCCTCGCTGCTCTGCCATTTGCTTACCTTTGACAAGGGTACATGCAGTGATAGTCTGCTGAAAGCATTAGAATGAAATTTATGACGACTTCATAGAAATACCTGAAAGACAAAAATATATTAAAATTATAGCAACAGGAAGATACAAGAGCAGAATCTATTTATTTTTTGCTGTCAAAAGTTTTAGACTCAAAATTTCCCTTTTCTCTGTCCATTTATACATTACCAAAGAAAAAAAAAAGATTATTCACAGACATATACTTCTCATTAGAAAGGCATTTCTTCATTAAACTCAATCCTGTTTAGACGGGACATCAAACTCACCTGGCATAACGTTGAACTCTATAAATCCTCGTGGAAGTACAAAGTTTGCCTGCAAAAAACACTGTAGGATCAGTGCTTTAATGCACAAACACAAAGATATTGAATTTAATTTCAAATACAAGCAAAGATACACTACAGGCTGTGGATATCTCTTTTTCTAGCTTTGACAAAAGCTCCGTGGTTTTCCCTACACCTTCTTTTGACACAAATATTTCCTAAGAACTAGACCACCTCTCTACAGCTGAGCGTCTCCAGGTCAGCCCATCCTGCAGTGAGCAGATCACCAGATCACGCAGCCCATCTGGTTGCCCTATTTAACCAAAGAATCATTTTCATAAGATGTAAGGGTTGACTGATTCGTTGCCTGTGACCCCTGACTAAAGCTGAGGGAATAAGATGTTGAATTGCTGAACTAAAAGCAGTTTGCTATTTTTAGTGTTCGGCTGGAACAGTTCGTGGAGATTCGTGAGCAAAGAAATAAAAGACAAAACAGTGTTATAATTGACACAAATTACTAGGTCATTATTAGTTTACATGATCCAAAGAATTATTTTTGTTTTTCAGTTGGAAAGTACTAATGACAGGACATTCTTTTGGCAATTTGCATTTACTGAACCATACCCATTACAAATCTGTCCAAAGCATTCCACTAGACAATACTTCCTCAATCAGAACATAAAAGTTAACAATCTTTGATAATGTGAACTAGCAGTAAAAGAAGAGCTGCAGAAATTTTCACGCCCCACTTTTCTGATTCACTGTAGAAGTGGTTAGGGCTTTTTGAGGTTAAAAATACCCACAGAAGGTCCATTTCTGTTTTTAAACTTCAGATTTACCTCCTTATTTCAGCTGTCTTAGCATAACATTCACTATTTTGCCATAATAAAGATCAGCAAGTCAGCAGGTGTTTCTCACGGAACAGTCTCTGCAGCTATCTACGGAACCTGGCTAGGAATCTTTTCCTCAGTGTCTTCCTCAGAAATTTCCAGAGACATGGGTATAACACACTGTCCAAAAGGCACAGTACAGTCCTTGCATTGCAGCAGCTATGTCAGAGGCAGTTAAAAAAAAATAAAAAGGAACAATGGAACAAAGTTAAGTCTTTATAGTCAAGAAAATGTGATTATGTGATGAGATCTTGAGGTAAACAGCGTTAAATGATGCTTTTATACTTTTATAACGAGGAAACTGCTTGGCTGGAGAACACAAACAGGGCAGGAGCAATAGATGGTCCTTTTGTCTGCCCTTCCTCCTAGGAAGGAGAATAAGGACCCTTTGGGTCTGTAGAAGAATAGGGGAAATCTTATTGATTTGCTTTGCAGATAAGCTCTATTCTGCATTTCTAATGTCAACATGATTCTACATGCATCCAATGCGGGTAAGGAAGGAGTTATTTCTAACTCTCACGGCTATTGTATCTGTTTACAAATCCTAAATCAGTTTATTCTTACTTGCAGTTAATGAGTCTTGTTTCTGGTGCATCTCTAGTGTGGAAAACAGTGGTGCTATACAGCATGACAGAAAACAATGATCAGATTTTTTGTCATTTGGGCATTAGAATTGCTGCAGCTAAAAATGAAAAGAAAAATGCAAGAAATGGTGATGCAAGTTCATAAATCAAAAACAAGAAAAGCAATTGCAGAAATAAGCTACGAGATTGGTCTCCTTCCTTCACCCCTGTAGTGCTGCTGCATTCTAAAAGCTTATAAAATTATAAAAAACCAAACTTCTGTGTTCATTTATTTTCTTCAAAATCCTGATGCATTGGAGAGCTGATACGTCCTTTTGCTTCCCCTTATTAAAGGTGTGCCTTACTCCTGAGCTTGGAGGCAGTGACCTGGGGCTGCCAGACGGGCCGCGTGAGGCCGGGTCGCGGCGGCCAGGTCCCTTTCGGGGCCGCGCTGCCTGGTGCTGCTGCCGTGCTGGTGTTCGGAGAGGCGAGCAGCGGAGCAGGCGCGGGGACGGGCCCCCGCAGAGCGCTGGCCGCAGCGTGTGCGACAGCAGCCAGGTACCATCGTGCTGCTCCAGCAAACAGCCGCTGGGTAAGCAGGTGGAAACTGCCGAACTGGCTTTATCCTGTATCGCTGCGAAACCAAAGAAAGGTTGGTCATCATTATCCACTTCTAAACTAATTTAAACCAATTTAGGAGTGTCTAAAAAAGCCCCATTTAAATCACTTTAGAAATAAATTGGTTTAGATTTCACATATAGACCTAACCCTGAATTCCTTATCATTGTTCCAGTAGACATTAAAGTTTTTGTTGCATTGGCAAGCCTGTTTTGGTTTTTAAATCAGAGATACACCAAATCAATAGACTGCATGTATCTGTGACATCTCCCAGCCTCAACAGTCTGGGTGAGAGTGACTAGCTCAGAAATGAGTAACTCGGAACAGCTTGGTGGTTAATGATGAACACTCTTCCAAGAAATGCCTGGCATGAGAATATACACGCTGACTGGATTTACAGAGGGAGCTGATGAAGTTAATAACTCAGCCATTGGCGAGGGGCACTCAAGGAACCGGCGGGCTCCGGGCTTCCAGGAGCTGTGCGGAGCCCCGTGTTCCCCGGGAGCACGGTGTGCTGAGCGCTGCCCCGGCCCCGCGGGCGCTCTGCAGGCAGCCTCCTTCCTCCTCATTACTCCTCCCCGCTGGAGAGCACGTGAAAATCACTCCCTCTTGCTTATCTTACAGAAGAAACCAAAACCACCTTAATCAGTATTAGCCCTTTGAAACTCACTCAATGAGACTATAAACAGGTTTTGCCTGAAACAATTTTCCTGCAAAACTGTTGCAGGCTGACACAGTACAGAAGGACATGCTCAAAATAAATGCAAAGTTAAGTGAGTCTGAATATCAAGGGTAACTTCATAACTTTTTAAAATAGTGCAGTTTTCTAGTCAACAGAGGAGCTGCACTGTGGTGTCTCTTATTTCAAGGGAAATAACATTATTTTTCTGTTGACACGCAAGCATACAGAATTAATACAGATTCCATCCTGAAACAGGATCACAGGTTAGCAGATCAGTAAGCTTTTAAAGATTTAGTTGAATTTAATTTACAATTTTCAGTGATCACAGCAGAGTGCTCTTCTGGTAATGATGAAAAATCATTTACCATGAAGATTTACACAAAAAGTAATTACTAAAAAAAGCTCCTGGAGGTGAGCTGTCACCAGGGGCCTGCGACACCCACTAGCATGCCCCAAATTAAATTGACCCTGCCTTAAATCTGCCTTAAAACAGAAAAGACTTCTGGCAAACTGCTTTCCTGGAAAAAAGGGCCAGTCAGCAGAATACAGAACATAGAGAGAGGGGCACGAGCAGTGGGGACGTGTGGCTCTCGGTGGCAGCCGAAGGCTCCAAACGGCTGGTGAGCAGATCCAGGACCAGCAGAGCTGGCGCTGGGTGTCTGCGCAGCAAACGTGCTGACCTTGCGCTTCCTGAGCTCCAGGCACCGTTGCGGCCTCCCTGCGGAGGGCTGGCGTCGCACCCGGGGTCAGCCCGGCGCGCCCGAGCTCGCTCGGTCCCCGCTGTCCGCCTGACGGGACGGCTGGGCTCTGGGCCATGCCCGCGACCCTTAACGAAGAGC